CTGCAGGAAGAATCCGTGTATCTGAGCAATGAGCATACATCCGGAAATTGTTTTCCTAATTCTCTAATTGAGACATAAATAATTTTCTTTTCTTTTGTATTTCGAGGAGAAATGTGTATGGACTTGGAAATTGTTAAAAATCAGTCACCAAAACCACCCAGTCCTTCATTTTCTCTCTCCGACGAGGTGGTTAAATAATATCCTCTTGTTATTACGATGATAGGAGCTAGTGAATGTATTTTTACTGGAAGTTAGTAATGTAAGCCACATAAAGTTCACATTCTTCTACTTGAATCTTTATATCTATATACTCGTTGTATATGGGGATTTTCCTTCTATTATTGATAATGGAATGGTGAATTATCTAAACGAGGTAACAATCTTGTTCTTGACTTCATATTATTGGTAAAAATTTGGTGGTCTTCGTGTAATCCAATAAGGATTTTCAATATGAGTTAATAACATACTATCTTCTTTTGTTAACATCTAAGCTAAAGATATTGCAATCGCTGTTGGTTATTTTAGTTTGCTATTATACCATTTCACAAATGACTGTACTCAATGGACTTGTACTGTTACAGATGTAACATGCCACCTTATCTACTTTTCCGACCCTTCAAAACTTGGGGAATTTGTGTAAACATTTTTATACTAACTCTTTTTTGGTACATTCACTAATCATTAAGAAATTTATTGTACCTGTTTTAAAATTCTCTCTATTTGATTACTGCTTTGAATTGTTGAATTGATTTTGGTTAATTTTCTCAGGAAGAAAAGCAGGCCTTTTCGTGACTGTCATCGAAGAGCAAGTTTCACATTGAATCAATAGGACAAATATCTTCTTCTCTATCGTTTACCATGTTATCTGACATTAAACCACGAACTACATGTGCAGCAACTGCTAGGGAAATGAGTCGTAGCTTAGAGCAGAAATGTAGTTCAATACGACAACAAACCTCGGATGTTGTGAAAGAGAAGATTCTACCACTCCGGGCTGATGCAAGTTCACAATATCGAGATACATTTGGACCTGGACATTCATTTGGCCAACCATACCGCCCTCTGCATCGAGAATTAAGACAATGCGGAAGCACTGAGAATGTGATCCTATTTAGGTCTTCTGAGAATTGCAAGATGACACAGCAGGGGAGTAAGACATGTAAAGATGACGAGCTTGTTAAGCACATGTCAAATTTACCCAGCTTTCTCCAGCAGGTAGCGAAAGAAAAAAGTGTCCAAGATAAGGCGTTAAATTTTGGAGTTCTTGATTGGAAGCGATTAGAGAAATGGAAGTACAATGAACCTATGCCTGCAAAATGTAACAGGAAAACAGCATCATGTAGCAATAATTCCTTGGTTATGACAAGTGGACCCCCTAAAATTAGTTCACAGCAGGGAAAACAACTGACATCACACAGTTTACATCCTAGTTCATCATCACCAGGAAAACAACCATCATCACGANGGGGTAAAAATGGGTCCTCCGTCTTTTCACCTAAAACGATCAATGTTCAGGAAGGGAAGAGTAAGACGAGATGCAAAGATGAAGTCTATGTTTCTCCTCAACATTGCACTGTAGAGCCACAAAACATCGTACTTCTAGTACCCAATCATTTCCCAAAGACGAGTTCCTTGGAAACTTCTCAGTTTACAGAATATAAGATGCTATTTGATGGACAATTGCCTGAAGGAAATTGGGCCAGATTTTCTGATGGATTTTCTCCTCTGGAGCCTCATTCAGGACAATTTGCCACTGTTATCCCACATTCATGTCCCTTGCCTACTAGTTCTATGGTCAACACCAATTCTCGTATGGAGCCACCCAACTCGGTCAATGCTGTGGCCATGGACTCAGAATTATGCACGACTGCAGTTCCAGATGACATAATTGTCCTACCCAAAAAATGTGAAGCTAAACGCTCATTTTCATTCAATGCTTCAAAGAGAATGGATGTCGATGCTGAACAGAAAACTAGAAAAGGAAGACATCCGTCCCCTACTCGCCGCTTCAGCTTTAGCCTTGGGAAGATGACCAGAAGCTTTAGTTTTAAGGAGAGCTCAGGAGTTCCGCATTTGGGTTCTACAGATACTGCTCCGAAGTCCGGCCCAGTTGGATCCAAACTTTCGCCTAGTATGGAGAGCTATAACAAAGACAAAGTAGCTGCTAGTAGCCGAAGGAGGTCCAGCCCTTTAAGAAGGTTACTGGACCCATTGCTGAAGTATAAAGGAGCTCATTCGGCTGAGATTGTTCTACCACCAGATGGAATCTCGCATGTCATGCCCTCCAAGCCCATGAGTAATGACGGACAAATTCAAGACAGGAAGCATGAGGTGTCTACTTTTCAGGCTCTTCTGCAGCTTTCTGTGAAGAATGGACTCCCTTTTTTCAAACTTGCAGCTGATAATAGTAGCAACGTGCTGGCTGCTGCTATAAAGAAGTTGCCATCGTCTGGAAAGGGTGACTGCTGCTTGATTTATACATTCTACTCTGTTCATGAAATTAAAAAAAAGAGTATGAGCTGGATAAATCCAGGACCAAAAGATAAAAATTGCGGACTTGGCTATAATATCGTTGCCCAGATGAAGATTTCAAGCTCTTATGTCCCGCAATTAGATTCAATGGACTCTAGTCAATGCGTGGTAAGAGAATGTGTCTTATATGGTGTTGATCTCGGCCAGGTGGATAAGCAAACACCTGAGCTTTTTTTTGATGGGGAGATTGCAGCAATTGTTATTAAGAACACGTGTGAAAAGCTAAAGGACAAAGGTTTGAGCGATAAAGGCAGACCATTCAAAGATAGAGAGTTTGTAAGGTGTGCCTCAAGTGAAGATGAGGACCCTAATAGCACGGTAGTCATTCTTCCTGTTGGAACTCATGGCTTACCAACTAAAGGTGCGCCCTCGCCATTAATTAACAGATGGAAATCTGGTGGATCATGTGATTGTGGAGGCTGGGATGTTGGTTGCAAGCTACAAATCCTTGCTAACCAGGACAGATGCAGCAAGATTACGGGACCGTCTATGCATAGCTCGGCTGCAGATCGTCTTGATCTTTTCATTCAGGTACCATTTTAACAATTCGGGTTTTTTATTTTTCTCCTCCTTGTAGCCCTTGTCAAGAGTATAGAATATAATTTTGCGTTCTATATTTTTTACAGGGTGGAGAGCGAGGGAGCAAGCCGATTTTCAGCTTGGAACCAACAAGCAATGGATTTTACTCTGTTGAATTCAGTGCATCCATCTCTTTGCTGGAGGCATTTTCTGTATGTGTAGCCAGCATAACTAGTCGAAAGCTACCTGAAATCTTAGACGTGAATAATCTGTCAGAAACTGCACGATTACCAGAAGGCACGATTGGGAAGGATAAGAAGAAGTCACAAACCACACTCCAGGTACCTGTGAAATATGTCACCTTTCCACCCTCCTCACCAGTTGGAAGGAGCTAGGTCAAGTCGCTGAAGCAAGAAATATATCTTGCGAGGCAATTCTCTGTATAAGCTAGTGAAAATTTTGGGAGCCTGGGTGTTATTCCTGAAAAGCGGGAACCTTGTGCATCGATTATA